GGGGGAGAGGAGCTGCAGCAGGCAGTCTATATTTTAGAAGGGCAATGCAGTGCTACATATTGCCTATTTAGATTTAGGTGCGGTTAAGAACCACGAGGCGACATTATCGGGAACCGCGAGTCCACACAGTGTCTCGGTATCATTCTTTCTGTGGCGATGGCTGGCCCCGGCTGGCCCTAGACACCCTGAAGGCACCGCCAGCCCGCATGGCGCCGCCAAAGACTCGCCCGCACAGTGCCGCACAGCTGATGCAATCATGATCGCTTCTTCTGGGCGCATGATCAGCCGAGTCAGTCAGAGGGTCGGTGTCTAACATGTAAGGGGCAGGCCTGTGGTCATCGTGTTCGAGTATCCACGGGGAACTCCCACGAGGGAAACCTGGACACTGGGGCTAAGATTCCCCTGGGAGGAAATGCTATGCTCGTTGTCACCGGTTTCACGTCACACCGTTAAACTGTATTAAAGGTTTAGTGCCTCTACAAAGGCATAAAAACTCACATGGGCACTATTTAGCACCTTTCGGACTCTTTTCTGAAAGGCATTAAATTCAGAATATCTTTAGCACCCTGCAGCAAAGGTTGCCGCCCATCGGGTGGACTTCCCCTCCCCACCCTCCCCCAAGCAAAGGTGCGACTTAACGCCTTTGTTTTTCCAGTGGCAGTGACGAGACAAGACGGCGTGCTGCATAAAGATATTGCCGCGCCGCAGTCCGGGCGCGGAGAGCGGACTTCCCTCCGCTCGGCGGCGGCCAACAAGAACTTACCAAATGAGGTGGGCGACGAACAGGAAGACTCCCGGGACCACCAGGTCGTCGCTGCCGACGCTCCAGCGTCGACGGAAGATGACAATGCCAGGCATGGCGAGGCCTGCGGCGCCGCGGTGAGTGGTGACAGTTTGCGATCACCACGGCGGCGGGGTCACCAGGGTCACCAGCGGCCCATGTCCGCACCGCCTTCCGCCGCGCACCTGCAACCGGAGACCCAGGGTCAGGACCAGCGAGGGCGGGCGCGCGTCTGTTCATGCTGACGAAGTGATGACGGGACTACGCCAAAGCGACGGCTCCCCGACGAGCCAGGTCGGCGGGGGCTTCCGACTACGACATTCCAGGGTGATATGTCAAGCAGAGCGACATTTGTGTGACTGGTTCACGTGACTGATGTCATCTTGACATAATGCTAAAGTCGATGACTTTGTATGGACTCTTTGTGCTGGGCGGTGAAGGTGGCCGGGGAAGCACCAAAGGACCCCGTGACAGCCCAGGTCGCCGTCAGAGGGCGTCAATCCGACGTGAGCGACGAGCGGCATAATAATAATTAGGTCCGGTTTTGGAGTGTGACGGGGTCGTCTCTGACCGGAGATTATCAGCTGTGATACCCGATAACCCAGGCACCCGAGGCGCAGCCGAGCGCGAAACATGAAGGCGGGAAGTCTAAACTCTGCCCCCGAGGAGGGCTTGATCGCGGGGGGCGGGGCGGA